AGAGGAAGCAGCTCCTCCGGGCGCAGGAACCAGAACGGGCCCTTTCCACTGGCGTCTCCCTGACCAGCTCTGGAGAAGCTGAGGCCGTCTCCCGGCGGCTTGTGAGCGCACACGTGAGCCGGTGCAGAGGGGGCTGCTGAGAGGCAGTAGCCCAGCGCTGCCCCCCGCCAGCTTCCTTCTGGAAAGTGCATCTTCCTCCCGTCCCACCCCCAACACACACACGCACACATAGCTGGGCAGTTCCAGCACGTTCCCAGCCCCAGATCACAGCCGACAGACTGAAGGGAGCACCTGATCCAAGATGCGTCGGATCAAGGGATACTGGGGCCCTATTTTCCACCAAGGAGATAGTGAGTGGGGTGAAATGAAGCAGACGCTCAGAAGACTCAGGGAGGAGCCCCGGCACTTAGCCCCGTGGTTGGCAGCTGCGGAGGAGCACAGCAGCCCCATCTCGGGCTCCCCGACAACACTCGGGACCTCAGGAGTGGATCCCTCTTTGGGCTCAACACAGCGCAAGAGGGGTTTCTACTCAATAGAACCAGCACTCCTCACATGGCCAGTAACCACTGAAGCACATCCGATGCTTAAACCCAGAGAACCCGGCAAAGACAAGAGGAGGCAAGAGGAAGACAATCTCAGCTCAGCCCCTGGGAGCTGTCTGATCTCAGGAGACATTGAGATGTCCTCAGCACAGGATGGGGATCTAGACACGGCCCCAGAGTCGGCCTGACGACGGGAGGAGACGCCGCATGTGACGCCCTCGGCTAGTACCCAGCACAGGAGGGCTGCTGTCACGCCCTCACGGGGCGTCCACCGAGGGCCAGGCACAGTGCTCGGGGCTCCCTGCAGAACTCCCGCCACAATGACAGGGGTGGTCTGAGCCCCCGTGAGAACAGGCTCCAAAAACTGAAGGGACCTTTCCGAGGCCACTCAGCCAAAGCTGGGTTCTCTCTGACTTAAGCCACCTGCTTTTCTTGTCTTTCTGCTACCTTGCCGCTGTCCTCCTGAGGACTGGCAAGAGCCAAGTTCAAGCCTGTTGACGATCCTGTGCTTCAGAACCCTAAGAGTCCCCTCCAGTGTGGGTGTGGGGGACGGAGCTCTGCCCTGCTTCCGTGTTTGGTGACTCCGGGCCGGGTGGGCTGTGCTGGATCTGAGCAGGCCTAGTGTGTTCCCTGCCACGAGGCTGTCCATGCGGTGACGCACAATGTCTTACCTACCCCATAGGATGCTTTATACAATAAATACTGCTTGAGTTGAAGGGGTGAAATGCCTGGGGCCTAAACACAGACTCTTACAACTTTGGAGATGGTTGAAGACCCTTACTTTCAAAAGCAAGCTGCTCAGAAATGTCTACTCTATTCTCTTTTAATCTTCGCGGGTAACATAGCCAGTCTTTTAGTGTTGCAACTAGAAATCTCTGAAAGGTAGAATCTCAAGGGAAGCTTTTTAATATGATACAGAAGTTCAACATATCAGACAAGCAAGGAACCCAGGACAGCCTCATTACATGACATGGAAGAGAGAGGCCCAGGAAGCGGAAGGGACTTGCCTGGGGTCTGGCCTGGAGCCCTGACCTGCTGCATTCTGGGGGGTGGGGGTGGGGTGGGGCATCTCACCCCCACCCCAACGTTGCACCCCCTCCCCCAGCCCCCGAGCTGATCCAACTGTCTGCCTTTGCCTCCTCCAGTATCAAAAAGATTATAAGGAGGTGATCGTAAATCACTTTTCTCTCTTGAGTTTACAGTGTTCCCTTTTTTTGAGGAGTTCAAAAGCACTCAGTAATAAACCCAGGTGATGAGTTTATGTCTTTCACTCTTAAAATGAAACTTTATTTGAACTCCTGGAGAGGCATTTAACTTTGTTTTAATTTAGGACATTCCTCTGGTATTTCAGCATTTCGCCCCATGGCATTTTCCGTGGGCGGGTAGGTGAAGGGGGTGGGTGACAGGGGAGGGAGAGGGGTCTGTGTCTCCCCCTCCCCATACAGGCCCTTCCAGATGCTGGCGGACCCTCCCTTCTATGGTTTTCAACAAGTCTCAACATCCACAGGAGGAGGAGGGGGCCCACCCGCACCCCCATGGGGACTTGGCTGCCGCTTCTTCCTTTTGTGAAAGTCCTCGCTGCCCACCTCCTTCTTGCCCTTGCCGCTGAGAGCAGAGGGAAGCACCTGAGTACAGAAAACCACACCGAGTGTCCGCGGCGGGGTGGGCTAGCCGTGAGGACCACCCTGCTCATCCCGCGTTACCTTCTTGCCACTGCGCTTGCTTGGGGGCTTGGGAAGAAAGAAAGGGCAGCTGGCAAAGTAAATAAACCTGAAGCTGGAAAAAAAAAAAAGACATTGAAGAAGAGGGTGAGAGGGCAGAAGACAGGGAGGGAGGGAGAGAGGCGAGGAAGGAGAGAGGGAGAGAGGCCTGACTCCGGGTTTTAGGCAAATGCGAAACTGCCCTGCTGTGTCTGGCCCTGGTGGTTTTGCTCATGATTTTATGTGGGTGTTAAGCCAAATTTCAGTCACTAACCACGTGTGAATACTGCCTGGCCACCACACAGCCCCTCCAAACAGAACCAAGGCGGCGGGGACAAGGGGTCGAGGGGGGTGCGGGGGGGCGGCCTGTTGCTTGCAAGCAGGCGGAATCTCGTGCTGAGGTCCTGCATTCAATAACTACTTAGTGAAGGAATAAACATGACAGATACTTAACGGTGCCGTATACGTCAAAGGTTTTTATTCCCTCTGGCTTCACGGGCCGGCAGGCCAAGCCATACACGACTCAAGTCACACCCACTCCGTGGCTGTTCCAGGCAGAGGAGCAGCAGATGGGTTCTCGGACTGACTTCAACAGTGCTCGGGCCACAGGGGACCATGGTGGGTGGGGCCCAAGGGGGCCCTGTTCCAGCCCATTTACAGACGTGACAGACGCGCGGGTAGAGGCCCACCGGACTGGGTCAGAGCAAACCCGGCCGAGCCGCTGAGCCCTGCGGAGCAGCAGCTTCAGTACAGAGGAAAATATTCTATTAGGGGAGTATGACCTACAAGGAGAGCCCTGTGCCCAGGCTTTGGCTGTAGCTGGCACTCTTCCTAGGAAAACACTAACATGCTCTCGAGGGGGTCGCTGCTCTCCGAGCGTCATTAGGCAGCATGGCCACCTATTGAAACAGTGAAGGATGGGGCCTGGGCCGCCTGAAACACATTGAATGGACTTCGTGAACTGTAAACCAAACAGGCAATAGTTCCTGTGGGGTGGGTTTTTTTGTTTTTCCTTCTTCTTCTATAAAAGGGTGGCTGGGGGGGCGGGGGGGGGGGGGCGGGGAGGGTGTTCCCTGGTGGCTCAGTGGTAAACAATCCCCCTGCCAATGCAGGAGACACAGGTTCAATCCCTGATCTGGGAAGATGCCACATGTCTCAGAGCAACTAAGCCCACGTGCCACAACGACTGAAGCCCACGCGCCCTCGGGCTCCTGCTCCGAAACAAGAGAAGCCACCGTAAGAAGCCCGTGCGCTGCAACGAGAGAAGAGCCCTCGCGGCAACGAAGACTCAGCACAGCCAAAGACAGATACTTGAAGAAGAAGGCAGGGGAACGTGACAAGTGGCTGGAAGCTACGCAGAAGACAGGTGGGATGCAAACATCACAGATCCATGAGGGTCTTCTGGGCCAGAAGTCTTCAAGGAGACACTGACTGGGACATTTTCTTTCTTTCTTTTTAGTATTTAGCTATTGATGTGGCTGTGCCGGGTCTTTAGTTGCGGCATGCGGGATCTTTAACGGCAGCATGCAAACTCTTAATTGTGGCATGTGGGGTCTAGTTCCCTGACCAGGATCGAACGCAGGCCCACTGCATTGGGAACGTGGAGTCTTGGCCACTGGACCACCAGGCAAGTCCCCTGGGACATTTTCAAGTGTTGGAAAAGGCTCTCTCTCAAGTGCCCTGTATCAGAACCACTCTGCTCTGGACTGAATCTCCTCAGGAGGTCAGAACCAGGACTGTTTCCCCCCGCCCCCTCCAGTTCTCTCCAGTTCTCTCCCCGTGATACCTGGAACAGCTGCCTCTGAGAAGATAAAAAACATCCAAGAGATAACACTTATCCTTAGGCTGTACTACCGTTTCTCCAACCAAAGTCCTAGCAGCTTTCTCCAAACCTTTCTCTCACCAAAACGATCCGGTTTAAAACAAGATGTCATCTGTTGTATTTTAAGATCACTGACAGACGGTTTTCCAAAATAAATGGATCTCTATCTTTTAACTCATACTGCAACCAGAGGTAATGCTGACCCTCAAAGAGTTGCTTTTTGTTTTTATAAAGTACTTCTAAGGGGAAGGACGGAACAGTCCACGGCGGCAGACACTTCTGGAGCGCTCTCTCGGCTACACGCTTGTCTCCCGTCTCACCTCCTGACCATCCCGTGAGGTAAGTTCTAAGACAGGACCAATTGCTGTCTGCCATTCTGAAACCAAAAACGCTCCACAACCCCCAGGTTTTTCCATAACTCAGTTGGCAGCAAAACATCAGGGCCCTGAACTAACACTGGGCTGTTTAGATTCCAGCTGTGCCACTAAATGTGAATATCTGTGCCGGCAGCTACACACTTTGCATGTGCTTGGTTACTGAGGGCGGCCCCACGTCTCCTCAATACAAAACATGTGCACCTGAGCGCCTTTCGAAACCCCCCAAAATCGCAGAATTCTGAAATATCTGGCCCCCACAGTGTGAGACAAGGATTGTGAATCTCTATGATCAACCCGGTTTTCCGATAAGAAACTGGGAATCCCTGAGGGCAAGAGACCTGCCCGAGGCCACACAGTGGACAAGAGTGGAGGCCACCCTGAGGCTGCAGCTGCTGCCAGTGTCCAAGCCGCTGACCACCCTGGGGGTGGGGGCGCCGCCCCAACACACGACTTCTGCCAGGAAAGAGCGCTGTGCCTCTTCTTCATACCCGGCTATTTGAGGGCGCGGAGGACACCGGCGTCAGAACCGGGGCAGGTGGGAGGAGGGCCTGGGGCTTACCTTGCCGAGGACAGTGAGGCATGGTTTCGGGTCCAGCTCCGGCTGTTCCAGTTTCACCACTCCTACCCAGCCGTATTCATACAGGTCTTCTTCGTCATTGTTATTACACAGGCCCAGTGGGTGCATCTGGGAAACAAGTGGGGAGAAAGCTTCAGTGGGCAAGCCGCAGATCTGCGGGGCTCCTGCAGTGCCTGTCTCAGACGGCACAGTCAAAAGCAACCTCGAAACTGCAAAGCATATGGGGGTGGGGAATGCATTTTTCAACCCTCCGGGGATTCTATTTCAGCACAATGAGCTGAACCCCTGGGGAGAACACAGCAGGACCACTACAAATAGACTGTAGGACGCTGTCTCACTGCTCTGTAAGGAGCAGTCACCCAAGGCGGACGCCACCTGATGGGAAGCAGGAAAAGGCAAATAGCTTAACTCCCACGTAAGGGCCGGTCTAAATCACTGTGAAATACCGTGACGTTCAGTGGCAGCATCCCAGATTATTTGGCTTCCAGACCTGAACAACACATCTACTTCAGCTGATGCAAGAGGACCTAGAAAAGTGAGGAATTTGTGGAGAGACCAGCAGACATGGGGCAGCATCGGTGGTACAATTAACAAGCCATATAAAGGCCACTCCTGGTTACTGGGAGATGAGTGACAGTCTTTTGAGGTTTTTTTTTTTTTCAAAATTTGGCAAAGCACAAAATCAGAGATAGGTAGAAGAGCTGGTCAAATTTTTCCCAGGAAAAGTGATGTCGGTGGAAGCCTGAACACAGAATGATGCTGCCACTCGCGCTCACAGTTCTTAGTGTTGAGTCCGGTCTCAGACGGAAAAAATCCCTGATAACCATCCGAGAAGAGGAGGTCCTCGAGGATAAACATAACCTACCACAACGTTAAGGGGTCTATCACAGTGCTAAGCTCTTTAAATAACCGAAAGAAATAGGTCTTTAGGTTCGTGGCGTGTTAGAGACACAAGAGACCGAAGAACCCACCAAGTTAGCCAGGAGAGATCAATGCCCTAATCTACAGAGGCTGGGACTGTTATCTTAAAAGACACAAGAGACTTAGAGATGTGATGAATTTTGCTGTCCTGGATTACCTGGGTAAACCCAATGTAATCACAAGGGTCCTTACAAGGAAAAGGGGAAATCGTGCAAGGCGGGGAGAAATGACCGGGGAAGCAGAGGTTGGAGTGATTTGCTTTGAAGATGGAGGTGGGAGCCAGGAGCCAAGGAAAGCAGGTGGTTAGCTTCCAGAAGCTAGAAAGGACAAGAAAAGGGTTCTCTTACAAGCCTCCAGAGCGAATGTAGCCCTGCCAACCCATTTTTTTCACTTCTGACCTCCAGAAATACGAGAGTAAGTCTGTGTTGCTTTAACCCATTCAGTTTGATGTAACTTGTTACAGCAGCAAATTGGAAACTAAAACATTCTCCTTATCCCCCACTCATTTGATGGATAAAAATGCTTTGGCATCAGATGATAGTAATGGATATGTGAACATTGTGAATGGACTAAATGCCTCTGAACTGTATACTTTTTTTAAAAAAAAGAGGATTCATAAACTGTGCTTTATTCAGATTTTGAATCTTACATAGCAGTTTAAAGAAATGAGGCTGATCTGACTACTACAGATACATTAAATCACAGTGACATACAAAATGAAATTGAAAATTATATACAGTTTGACACACACAAAATTTTAAGTGTCTTTTTTGCTGATATATTTATGAATATAAATTCTCAAAAACAAAATTTAGAAAGGATACATGCCAAATTCCTATCTAATTTTCTTCTCGGAGAAGGAATTTTGGTATTTATGGACATTCAGAGGGACTTTGAATTGTATACTTTAAAATGGCTTAAATGGTAAATTTGATATCAGTTTTACTGAAATAAAAAAGCTTTTGGGGGGACTCCCCTGTTGGTACAGTGGCTAAGACTCTGAGCTCCCAATGTGGGTGCTCAAGGTTCAATCCCTGGTCAGGGAACTAGATCCTGCATGCCACAGCTAAGACTTGGTGCGGCCAAATTATTAAATAAATGTTAAAAGATTTTTTCTTTAATGTCCCAAGAATTTACTCAGAAACTACTGTCCTCAGTCAACACGGGGACCCACAGTGTAGGACGATATGATTTTCACTCCTCTGGAGCCCAAGCCAGCCCTGTGACCCTTCGGGAGACCCTGTCCTCTGAGTCCCGGCCCCGCCCGATGCCGGCAGCTCTGCACAAGCAAGGAAGGCGGAGCAACAGGGCCTGTGGATCAGGGTCTACACCTGGAAATTAAAGCTCTGCAGGGGCCTGAGGTCTAAAAACGGGTTTTAACCTTTGCCGAAACCAGCATTCCCTACCCTTTGGCGGTCAGCCCGTGCTGTGCTTAGGATGCTCACACTTTCTCAAGGGGCAGCTCTCATCCTGAGAGATGCTGGGTCGGGGACGGCAGGCACACGTGTGAAGAAGAAACCAACTTGAAGTAGGTGTGACTCAAGCATGACGCTGACACGCCTGATGCCAACAGCAAGGGCTTTGAGGGGGAGGAGACGGAGGGACAGACGGAGGAAGAGGGGGCCTGGGAGGGCGGTACCGGGAGACCAGAGCAGCAGGAGCGGGAGGAAACACCGAGGCCCTTTGGCAGGCTGGGCAGAGGCTCGGGCTGGGCAGAGGCTCGAGCTGTGGAGCAGGACACGCAGGCATGGGAGGGCAGCGAGGGGGTGCCCTGAGCTCGCAGAAATCCCCACTGCACACACCTCACACACACTGAGGTCCCCCTGGAGCCCTGGCCTGCGCCCCTCCCCCGCCGGCGGGCCCTCCCCTTCTTGGCGGCCACACCCTCCCATCTCCCGGCCCCCCACCCCCACCCCCGCCCCAGACTCCCTTTCAGACCATCGCTGGGGTGACTGCGAGCAGCTCAAAGTGTCAGCCCTGTCAAGGGTGTTGACTTCTGAACAGGGATCAAAGACTTAAAAACCAAAAGGAATTTCTGTAAAGTGCCGGCGGGTGTCATGGGTTGGTGTGGGTGGTTTGTTTTCCCCGGGGAGGGTGCAAGGGCCCCCAAGATCGCATCTCAGCGAATCCAAAACCGACCTCGCTGTCTCCACTGACTTCCGGGCTCCTCTTCAGAGTTCCTCCTCTGCCGAGTTCCTCAGAGTTCCTTACTCTAGTTCGACTCTCCAGAGGCCTGCACTACCCGACCTGAGAACGCAATCTCAGCCACGTCTCAGGTGTAACTGGTCTCTTCCATCCACCTGCCAGATACTGTCCATGGGGTCTTTCTCAGCTCAGCCCTGATGACGACATCAGCTTCCAGAAGTGCCTGCTGCCCTAGGTCTCCAAACATTCACACCCTGGGTCCTCTTTTTCCAAGGGCTCAATGCTATGGGCTCTGTAACATCTTATGGGAAAACCCAAACCAACTTTCTGCCCAACCCAAAGCTAACAAAAGCACAAAGGAAAAAACCAAGTAGACTCAGAAACCTAGAACAGAGCTTGACAAAAACTCACTGGAGACAGAATACTGAAGGAGGGGAAGGACAGTCTGAAATGATGAGAAGATCAGGAGAACTCCTGGGTGGGTCCACAGAAGAACAATGCCAATAATTCACAAGCTACCCTAAAGTGTGAGGATTTAACAGAAGATCTGTCTTGTGTTGTAACTCTGGTCTTGCGCTCTCAGAATAACTTTGTGATGTCAACATTCTTGCTTAAGTCAACTGAAGGCAAATTCCCAGCTGGTCCTCTATAGTGAGGCTTGACATTAAGAAGCTGTGTCTAGAGAAGTCCCAGGTGGTCCAGTGGCTAAGACTCTGCACTCCCAATGGAGGGGGCCCAGGCTGAATCAGAAGACTAGATCCCATAGGCCACAACAAAGATCGAAGATCCTGAGTGCCACAACTAAGACCCGGTGCAGATAAATAATAGAATTTTTTTTTTTAAAAAAAGAAGAAATTGTGCCTCTTGCTGTTTTCCTCCTGATTTTGTTCCGAGGGGTGTTTGGGGGGGTGGAAAGGATGCGAGCTTTGGAATCATGTAACCATGTTTTGAAACCTGCCTCTTAAAACGAGGCACATCTCCTTGGGCAGGTGACTCAATTTCTGTAAACCTCTATTGCCTCAACTGTAAAATGGGAACAGCAACATCTGCCTCAACAGGGTGCTGTGAGGATTCAATGAGATAGAACACATCATCATAGTTGCACAACAGACGCTCCATCAGTGGGAAAGTCCTCTCCTTCTTCACTTTCTCTAGACATGTCATGCTTGCTTGCAAGTCACACTTCTGCCTAGAATCCTCTGTCCTTCAAGAACAGTTTCAAGGTCAGCCCTTTCATGGAGCTTTCTTAAATGCACCAGTACAGCTAGTGGCTTCCACCCCTGTGTTCCCAAACACTTTACATGGTGCTTGCTACAGTTCCTTCACCCTCTCCTCGGGGATGAGCAGCTGCTTCTAGAAGTCTTCTCAGAGGTCCCCTTTCACCCCACCCACAGCCTTGCACCCAAAAGGTGTTCAATAAATGACCACTGCTACCATGCCTCAGCTCTGTTTGGAAGTCATTTGGGCCTCTGTTTGGCTAGGTGAGGGACCAGGACAAAACAGGTCAGAATTCCAGCAAACGACTGCATGAACTTTATAGAGGTGGCTCTTACAGCCATTGATCCCCAAGTCGCCAAACACATTCCCAGGACTTTACTGGTGACCTCAGGATTTCCTGGCAATGGCACAGAAGCAAAGGCTGCTCCTTCTTGGTCACCATGGCCGGGCTAGTAGGGGCGGACAGCACTCTCGAAGTGCAGGGAACACAACGCCACCTCCCTTCCCTGGGCCAGGCCCACGACAGGGCTTTATCAGGGTGGTGGAGGGGGAAGAGGAATAGAGGATTTCTTGCCTTAAAAAAAAAAAGCAAGCAAAACTTCAAATTCTCCCGCCCCGGTCTGACCGCAGAAGTTGCTGTCACCTCCGATAAGACAAAGGAATAAAGCGGGGAAGAGGCAGGCATTGGATTGAGGGCACAGGGAACCCAACAGAGAAGAAAAATAGAGGGAAATCCCAGAATGACAGCTATGCCACCGGCCGGCCGGGCGAGCAGCCCAGATGAGGCCAGAAGGATGAGCACCGCAGAAAGCACCAGACAGTAA